GCTCGGATGGCCAATCGAGTAGCCAAGCATCTCAGGGGGGCGGCATGTGATGCCCCCGCGATCTGGCCGCTTGATTTGACGGCAGTGAGTGACCATGATCACCTGCAGCGATGCTGGTGGACCCGGCTCGGCGAAGCGAGATGGCGCCCAAGGGGCATGGATAGTCTTGCTGTGGGAAACCCGTATCCGTCACAACAAGCGGGCACGAGTGTCGCTCCTCCCCTGACGGAGTCAGCGCTTGCGTCGTGTCGTGTCGTCGACTCTGCCCGCCTAGATTCTGCGCTTGATTGGGGCTTTGGCCGAGGGGCGGTGGCTTTTTTTTTTCTCCCCCCCGAGATGCCCTGTGCGGAGACGTTCGAGGCCCAGACTGGTGGTCGACCAGTACGGCATGTCCGTTTGCTGTGGATTTACCGGATGACTGCGCTGTCGCCGAAGCTTCCCAGGGTGTCGCAATGTCGATGCTAAGTCCCAGTTCGGTACCCTGTCTAAGACTTGCGGAGGGGGAAAGGCAGACCGCCGAAATTGCATCGAGATGGCCATCGTCCAGGACTCAACGATTGCCCAGAACACCGTGATCTGGTGGGTTCCCCACTGCAAGATGCCCGCCGACAGCACGACGAAAGTCGACCCCCAGAAACGCAATTACGCGTGGACCGACCTGAGGGGAAGGGGGGCCCTGGCCCTCGCGCGCGAGACCGGCTCGATTGACGAGAGGTCTCTGAACTTGGCCCTCGAGTCTCGCAGCAGAACTGCGCCCCGTCGAGCGTTAGCCCGAGAGTCCATCGCTTCAGAAGAGCGAGCGGCAGAAGCTGAGGAGGAGACGAAGGAAGAGGCGAGCAGGAAAGCAGGAGGGAGAGAGGAGGAAGAGGTGAGGAGGGGGGCAGGAGATGAACAGGAGTCGACCCAGCCCAGCGAGACGTCCTATCCCCACGGACTGCCTCGCCCAGCGACCGGTTCAACAGCCGATGCGAAGTGGAGAGGGGGGGGGAGAGGAGGTGAGCCCGCGCCCCGGAGTCCCCGCTGACTGACGGAGAGCTCCGTCGCGACGTACCCCACGGGGAGGGCCCCTATGAGGGGGGCGGGGCGGGGCGGGGGGGGCTCGAGCGACCCCCTCCCCCCTCGGAGCGGAGCTCCAGTGATGTACAGTCCTGACAAGGGCTCGAGGGTACTAAAATAGGGGGCGCTGTCTTACGTGACTGTGACACTCCTACCCCTCGAGCCCCCTATGATGTGTTTTGCGAGTTGCATGACGCTGTGCTTAGTGTCGCAGGGGTGACTGTCTGCGTTGTGCAGGGAATACAGACAGTCTTGACTATTGTGATATTGTGGCTCAAGTCTCTGGGAATTCCTAGCAGAGAGGGACGTCGCTCACCGTCGCATCCTCTGGTTTCTCTCTCGACCCCAGCCGATCCGCGAGTCGGCTCACGCCAGCGGCTCGAACAGCTCCTCGTTCGATGGGCCCTCGATCCAGCGCAGCTCATCGATGACGCCCCCGCGTGTGCACAGAACGTCTCGCGGGCCTTCGCCAGTTTCCACTTCGGGCCGTCGCGATTCGAGGGCTTGAGTGCCAGGGCGACGTCGTCCTGGCGCTCCCACGCTTCCAGATGGGAGACGTCGATCTGGTCGGGCATGTCCCAATCGCCTGCTTGTTCCTCAGGCGCGGCCTCCCCTCAGCTCGTCGGTCCGCCTCGCGCGCAGCAGGCCCCGAGCGAACCTTCATCAGCGCCGCCTTGACCTTCGACCGCGCCCCGATTGCCGCGTCGGCCGCGGTCGACGGGCATCCCGTCGGAGGTCTCCAGCCGTCTCGCGGGAAGATCGGCATCGCGTTGTGGCCTCCATCTGTTTCGTTCAAGCACTTGGGCGTGATCTCCAGCTTGTCCGACTTGATCGCGTCCTCCGCGAAGTTGATGTCCGCGCCCATGCCGCGGAGCGCGTCTTTGCCGATCAGCAGCTGCAGCAGCGAGTCCTCAATGACAGAACGTCATGTAGGCGTCCGCGTTGAACGCCGTGACCGGCACCGCCCAGCTCTCCCTGGAGACCTGCTTTCGGCCGGTCCCAAGCTTGAAAACGGCGAGCTGGGGCTCCTTGATGTGTTTCTCGATGCCTAGCTCCTTGCGCCAGCTCTCGATCCTAATGGCGCAAGCGTCACCTGAGACCGCGCCATTGCAGGCCGAATCCAGCGCGCCATCGTCGCCCTAACCGCCGATTGAGGCAGGCGAGAACAGCGTCTCCTGCACCGCCACCTCAGCGTTCTTGTCGGTCACCATATGCACATACTCGAGCCCGCACATGGCGCATCGGACATCGCGATGGTCGCCTTGCAAGCCGCACTCCTCACACCACGCCGGCGTGGCGAGGTGCCCGAGGACGTTCGCGGCCACCAGTGCCTCGAACACCTTCGGGATGTTCGCCTCCAGCACCTCGTTGCCCGTCTTCGTGTCCAGCAGGTCGACTACCGTCGCGTCTCGCGGCTGGATTTTTCGCTCCAGGTTTTGATTGGCCTCTTCGGCCTCCCATTCCTTCAGGTTCGGGCAGCAGGCGTCGCCGGCCCAGTGGCCAGTGTGACCACATGAGTGGCAGGTGGAGGTCTTCTTGTCGGGTGAGCTGCCCTGGCCAAACCTGCTCACGAACTTTTTGCCGCTACTTGGGTCTGTGCCCGAGCCTCGACCTCCACCTTTGCCACCGAACTTGCGTTTCTTCCGCAGTTCCTTCATTCGCTTCTTACTCTCGCGCACCGTGATGAGTCCTTCCATCGTCGACACCACGCCGCTGTCCAAGTTGCCGAGCTCCTGCGCCAGCTCCGGATCGTTCGCGGCTTCCTCCAGCACCGTCGAGAGAGCCTCCAGCTCTGCGGCGACGATGCCCTCGATGTCTGGCTCCAGCTCCGTCGTCAGGGCCTCCTCCGTGCGTCGCCGTCGAAGCTGCCGAACTCCGCGTTCAGGGCCTCGAGCTCACCCTCGTCGAGCTGGCTGAGGCCATCGAGGTCCTCCGTCACGTGAGCCTCCTTGAACTTGCGGAACACTTGCTTCTTCAGCAATTGAGTTCCAGGTCTGTTGAAGGTGACCGGTTTCCTGCTTTGATCGAAAGCGTTGTAGCGGTGCTCCGACGCATGCAGGTCGGGAAACACTCGCAGCATCGCAGGCACCACCTCGCGTACCTCCATGCTTTCGCCTGTCGAGGTCATCAGCATACTCGTCTGTGCATCCGTCAGAGCAGTCTTCTCAATCAGCCACCAGCCTGCCGTGCGAGCTGGCAGAGCCACATCTTCTTCGTACAAATGGCTACGGGCCTCGCCGAACCTGATCATCGACGAATTCAGGTCCTCGCCAGCTCTCCTATGCAGCTGCTTGTACAAATGCGTCATCACTTGTCCGCGTCGCGTCGGCTCGTCCACGCCCACGGTGGCAAGCACCTCCATCAACCTGTTGATACCCGCCATGGTGTCTGGCCCTTCCTAGTGGCCGCGCCCGCCGTCGTCATCATCTTCGCCCTGGGTGCCATCTTCCGCGACCGCGTTGAGCCTTCCACCTGGCACCCGCTTCCATGGTTTCGCGCGCAGCTACTCCATCGGGATCGACTCCGCCAGTGTCTTCGCCGGGCCCGTCAGGCACCTTACCACTCTGGCGGCCCAGCTCCAGCTCACGTCTAGATTGATACCCTCGATGCACATGGCCACGTCCTTCTTGTATCTCCTCCACCGCGCCGCTGAGCCGTCCCACGATGGAATCCATTCCAAGTCACGGCTCGTCCACTGCGGCGCTTGCACCCACGTGGTCGAGGAACTCCGCCACTGATGCCCGCCACTGCCGCTGGAGTGCGTTGGCGGCAACGCGTCAGGCGAGAGGACGCCACCGCCCATAGCAGGCCTCCTCTGCGATGCGAATCCTGCCGAACTCGCCATCGCTGTCGTGTTAGTCCGTGTACACGTCCTGGTCGTCGGCGTCGTCCAGCACTCGCCTCGTGCTGTTCTTCACCTCGCAGGTCGTCCAGCACTCGCTTCGTGCTGTTCGTCACCTCGCAGATCGTCTCGCCCTCGGCCGAAAGGCGCCCGCGCGGCGACGGGCTCCGCTACCACTGCGGGACTGGGTAGCCTTCAGCGGCGTACTTCCCGGCCCCGCAGCGGGGGCTGGCGGCGGAGCCCGGCAGGACTCGGGGTACGCACCCTTTACAGCACCAGTCCTGCAACCGGAAACCAGTTGTCTCAAGCCGGTTTGGGCCGAGCCGGCCGCGTTACACGAGAGAGAGGGGGAGAGCAAATGGGAAGAGGGGGATCTAATAGACGAGCGGGGGGCTAATCTGGCATCAGACGCGTGTTTTTTGACACGCCAAACGCGCCAATTCACATGGCAACGCACATCGGGCAGCAGTCGACACCCAAGCATCTTTGTCAGAAAACATGGCGATGCGACGGCGGGTGGTCAGCATGGTGTAGGGCGTCTGCACCCGCAATCAGTTTGCATCGTATGTTGTAATCGGGACTGGCTGTGCTCCCACCTCCTGTCGTCTCTGACAAGAACACATGCGAACTGATAGTCGGGTGCTCGCGCGTGGTCGAGTGTTTGCCGCACCGTGCAGATTGTATTGTGCGCGCGCGCGCGTGTGTATGTGTGTGTGTGTGTTTGTGTGTGTGTTTGCGTGTACGTGTGCGTGAGCTGACAGGGATGGTGAGCGTGTGCGCCTCTGTGTGCGTGCAGCTCAGCGCAGTTCAACGTCCATCCACAACGTTGGTTGCAATTGATTCCGCCGGGGTCCACCTTTGTTCGATCGTAACCGTGGTGTCACATCGCCGGCGGAGGAATAGTGTTTGTGTATGTGCGCTCTTGCCGCGCGATCTGGGCCAGCCGCGCGCGTCTCCATGCCCGGCTTTATCCGCCGCGACGCTGCGCGCGCGTGGCCGCACCGCCAAACAGTATGTGTGTGTGTGCTCGTACGTAGGTGGTCACTTATTAACGTCGTGATTCAGATCTCAGATAATGCCCAGGAGTTTTGTCACCAAACAGCGTTTACCCGTGGCAGGGTGTATCGGCTTTCTTCTAGCGCTCAGTCGCAGGAGCCTTGCCCGCAGAGTGGTAATGCATTTTATTGGGCATTTAGTTGCTTTCTGTACAGCCACTTGTTCGACAAGTGTGGGGCATTTTAGGCTAGCGCTGAAGACTCAGTGCGGGTCGCACTCATGCGGATATCTCGTGCTCAGGGATGTGTGATGTCGATGTTGGGTTGAAGGTGTTCATGTGTGAGAGAAGACGTCTGCCGACGTCCTCTTTGGCAGACGTCCGATTCGGCAAGTCCTCTTCGGCAGATCCCTCTTCGGCAGAGGTGTGTTTCGGCAGATCGCCTTCGGCAGGCCCCCATTGGCAGGTCCGCATCGGCATACCCACCTCGCCAGAGTCGGCTTTGGCAGACGCCCTTCACGCTGCTGTTGTTGCTGCTGCTCCTCTTCCTGAGGGCCCCTCCTCCTCGTGCTCCTCCTCCTCTCCTCCCACTGCCCCTTCCGAGGAGAATCTGCGGGAGGACGGAGGAGGATGGAGGAAGAAACCGGCGGGACGGGCAAGGGTGAGGAGGAGGAGGAGGAATATAGGAGCAGGAGGACGGCGAGGAGGAGGAGGAGGAGGAGGAGAACGAGGTGGAAGAGGAGGAGGAGGAATGACAGGAGGAGGAGGAGGAGGAGAAGGAGGAGGAGGAGGAGGAGAGGGAGCACGACGAGCTCCAAGTCATTCCAAGCCCGTGGGGGGGGGGGGGACGCTACAACCAACGCGTCCTGGACGTCGTCTGAATTCTTATCGCCGTGGTCGTCGCCACCGTCGCCCTGATAGTCGTCGTCGTCGTCTTCGTCGTCGTGGTCGTGGTCGTGGTGGTGGTCGTCGTCGTCGTCGTCGTCATTATTGTAACCTCCGTCGTCGTCGTGGTCGGCGTCGCCCTCGTCGTCCTCGTCCTTGTCGTCGCCCTTGCAGTCGTCGTCGCCCCTGTCGTCGTCGTCGTCGTGGTCTTCGTCGTCGTAACCACCGTCGCCGTCGTGGTCGGCGTCGCTCTCGTCTTCGTCACCACCGTCATCCTTGCAATTATCGTTGCCCCCGTCGTCCTCGTCGTCCTCGTCGTCGTCTTCGCCGTCGTCTGCGACATCGTCTTCGCCGTTGCTCGGAATATTCGCTTTCAGTGTCGCCGCCTTTGTCGTCACTCGTCGTCGCCCTCGTCGTTGTCGCCTCGTCGTTGCCATCGTCGTCGTAATCGTCGTCACCGTCACAGCCTGCGTCGTCGTCGTCGTTTCCTTCGTCGTTGTCGCCTTCGTCGTTGTCGTCGTCGTCGTAATCGTCGTCACCGTCACAGCCTGCGTCGTCGTCGTCGTTGCCTTCGTCGTTGTCGCCTTCGTCGTTGTCGTCGTCGTCGTCAACGTCATCGTCGCCCTTGTCGTTGTCGTCGTCGTCGTCGCTATCGTCCTTGTCACTCACCATCGTCATCGTAACCCTAGTCGTCGTCCTCGTCCCCGTCGTCGTCGTCGTTGTCGCCTTCGTCGTCTTCGTCGTCGCCCTTGCAGTCATGGCTGTCGTCGTCGTCACCGTCGTCGTCCTCCTCGTCCTCGTCGTTATAGCTCACGTCGTCACCAGTGCCTACGTCGTCATCGTCGTAGGTGTCGCCAGCTGTCGTCGTTACTCGTCGTCGCCCTCATCGATGTCGCCTTCGCCGTCGTCGTCATCGTCGTCGTCGCCCTCGGTGCCATCATCGTTGCCGTCGTCGCCATCGTCGTTGTCACCCCCGTCGTTTTCGTAGCCTTTGTCGTCGTCGTCGTCCCCGTCGTTTTCACCGTCCCAGTGCCATCGTCTTCGTCGTCGTCGTAGCCCTCGTCATCGTCGCCGTCGCCCTCGTCACCGCCGCCCTGGTCGTCGCCGTCGTCGTTTTCGTCGCCATCGCAGGCGTGGGTATCGTCGTCGCCGCCCTCGTATAGCCTAGACGCTGAAATACGCAACCTTTGGGCCTCAGGAGTGTCTCTAGTGTTCGAGTACTTCTTAAACACTAGATCGCAGGGCTGGCTTGGCTCCCCGCGGGCGAGTTTATGCGAACGGGCACGCACGGAATGGTCTTTGGAGGCCTCGGTCGAGCCATTCCTTGCGTGCCCGCTCGAATTTGGTGCTTGCGCCCCTCTGAGGTGGTGAGGACTTCATTTTTAGGGCGAACCGCAGGCCCGCGGTTCGCAGCGAAAAATTGGATCTTCACCACATCCCGTAGGCGTTCCCATGGGCGTGAGCATCCCGCAGGCCCTCCCATTGGCGTGATGATCCCGCAGGCCTCCAATGCGCGTGAGGATCCCGTGTTTTTTACTGCGAACCGCGGGCCCTCGGTGAGGCGCGGCCACCAAATGCGAGCGGGCCCGCACGGAATGGCTCAACCGAGGTTTCCAAATGCCGTTCCGTGCGTGTCCATTCGAATTTCGGGTGCTGCGCCCTAGACCCATTCGTGACCGAGGCTCGCCGTGGCCAGGAAAGCTCGTCCGTTCCTTACGTGGCGTTCCTTGTGGTGGCACGACGGCTGTAGGAGTCTCCCTCGTCGTCGTCGTCGTCGTCGCCGCCGTCGTCGTCATCGTCGTCGTCGTCGTCGCCAGTCGTAGTCGTCGTCGCTCTCCCGTCGTCGTCGCCGCCGCCGTCGTCGTCCTTGTCGTCGCCTTCGTCGCGTCGTCGTCGTCGTCGCCCTCGTCGTCCTCGTCGTCGGCGTAGCTTTGGTCGCCCCCGTCGTCGTCGTCGGCGTCCTCGTCCTCGTCGTCGTCCTCGTCCTCGTCGGTCGGCGGTCGGCGGTCGGCGCTCGCTGTCCTCCGTTCTCCGTGTCGTCGGCGTATAGCTCTCGTCGCCCCCGTCGTCGTCGTCGTCGTCCTCGTCCTCGTCGTCGTCGTCGTTGCCGTCGTCGTCTTAGTTCTAGGCCTCCTAGATGGGGTCGGAGTAGATGGGGTCGGAGGATCGCGCCGCATCGCCGATGCATCGACGATGCGGCTCGATGTGCAGGCCGATTTGCTTCACGTCGACGTCGCCGATGCATCGCCGACGTTGACGATGCATCGCCGGTGCATCGCCGATACATCGCCGATGCATCGCCGATACATCGACGATGCGGCGCGATCCTCCGACCCCATCTACTCCGACCCCATCTAGGAGGCCTCTATTAGTTGCCTTAGTTGTCATCTTCGTCGCCCTCGTCGCAGTCGTCGTCAGCAGTGCCCTCGTCGTCGTCGTCGCCCTCGTCGTAGTCGTAGTCGTTTTTGTCTTCGTAGTTCTGGTCGTCGTCGTCGTCTTCGCCCCCCTCGGCGTCGTCGTCGCCGCCGCCGTCTGTAATGCCAAGCCGTCGGACCCGCCCGTCATGCGACGCTCGTTTGCCCACAATGACTTTTGTCCTGGACTCAACCCTTGTATAGTGCAGAAGGCGTGCTGCTAGCACGGCCCGCACTGTGGGGCCTTTGAAGCACATGGCTGCGGAGGTGGGGAAGCGCTGCTGCAATCCCTCCCATCCAGCTTGTGCTGACTTGTTCGCGCAATTATCTTGGCAGAGACTGACTTCAGAACGATCTTCACATGATGCTCGGAGACTGGGGGCGGACAGAGTCTGCCCCACCTTCATACTTCATGCTGCCGAGATGAAGCCCCACACGTTTTTTATTACATTACAGCCGGTGGTCATCCAACAACGTCCCGCCCGGCCGGCTTGCCCTGCACGTGAGGGCCCGCCCGACCCGACCGTCAGGAACGACAGAGCCTTCCCGCCCCACACGCCCGTCGCGGTCCGCTCGCCAGACCCGCCCGTCAGGTGCCGTCCGCCCAGCCCGGCCGCCGGGGCCCTCCCGCCAGCCGTGCCCGCCCGTGAAGGTCCGCCCGCTCGACCAGCCCGTGATGGACGCTCCGCCCGCCCCGCCCGCCCGCCAGCGCCTGTCCGCAACGTTTCGGAGTGCCGTGAGTGCGCTCGCTCTGCACCGCTGTGGCGCGATCCGGTGCCACGCGCCTGCTGCGCTCGGACTCGGCCTCCTGGCAACGGGGGGCGGTGCGTGTGCGGAGGATCTTATGCGCCTTTCTGCGCCTCGCACGGTCTCCGGGAGGGCAGGCGGGGGACTGAGGGCCCGCCTGACCCGCTTGTTCGAGGCCGCCCGCCCGACGCGCCCGTTGGGGTCCGCCTCCTTGCAGGCCGCGTGCCTGATGTTCTGTCCGCCCGCTTGGACGGTCCTCCCGCCCGATCAGACCGTGAGAGCTCGCCCGCCCAACCCCTTCGGGTCTGCCCCCGACCCACCCGCTCGTCTCAACACCTCATGGCGTGCTCTGGTTTTGCCTCCTCTTCACCATGTTGCCATCGTCATGTTGCTCCTCCTCCTCCTCCTCCTGCTCCTCCTCCTCCTGCTCGTCCTCCTCCTCCCCCTCATACCGCTCGTCCTCCCCCTCATACGGCTCATCATGCGCCTCGTCGTGTTCCTCTTCCCCCTGATGTTCCTCCTCTCGCCTCCTCTTCTTCCCCTTCCTCCTGCAAGTCATGCTACTAGTTTTTCCACAGCTATCCGCTGCTGCTGCTGCCCAAGAAGACCTGTCGAAGCGAGCTCCTGCCGAAGCGGCTGCGTCCAAGCGGGTCAGCCGAAGCGGGATGATGCCGAAGCGGGATTTTGCCGAAGCGGGTTGCCGCAGAGGAGTTGCCGAAGGTGATTGCCGAAGAGGGTCTGCCGAAGGAAAGTGATTCCGCTGAAGCGGACTGGTACATTCGAGCCAGAGCGGACTGAGCCAGCGTTTTTACCATTGGGCTCATAATCGCAATGCCGATGATTTATTTTTCCCTCCGACGCGCTGATGGGCACAGTCCGCGGGCAGCAAATAACCAGAGTGGGCTACGCGCAACGAGACTTTGCCACATTTTTGGCCATGCGTGCAAAGCTGTGAGAATTGCGGCCCGATAAGGACGTCCAAGCAGCAAAGGCTGGCGATGCCAGAAAGCAAGAGCCGAGACAGGTAGCCAGAGGGGCGGAGAAAAGGCACACACCCACAGGCACTAACATACCCCCGCGCAAACACACAAACACACACATACTGACTCGCGCTCTGTCTCACACACACGCACACACGCACACGCACACGCACGCGCACGCGCACACGTGCGCATACACAGACACACACGCACACGCACACGCACACGCACACATATACACACACGCGCGCACACACACACGCACACGCACACGCACTCATACACACACACACGCACA